ATAAGCTGGATTGGATATCCTGCTCTCATGTGTGCACAGACGGCGCTGCGGCGATGACCGGCAGAGTAAATGGATTAATGGCCCACATAAAAAAGGTAAACCCTGACGTTACATGGACGCACTGCATGATTCACCGAGAAGCATTAGCTAGCAAGAGAATGAGTCCAGAGTTAAACGATGTTTTGAATGATGCCGTAAAAGTGATCAACTTCATACAGTCCAGGCCTTTGAATCATAGACTGTTTCAGTCACCTTGTGAAGACGGTGGGTCAGAACATAAACAGCTCCTGCTTCACACTGACGTCCGCTGGTTATCCCGAGGGAAGACGTTACAGCGGCTGTTCGAGCTACGCAATGAAGTGAGGGCATTTCTGTCGGAGCACACACACCCACTTGTGGCTATGTTCGACGACGCTGACTGGGTAGCTCGGCTGGGATACCTCTCTGATATTTTCAGCAAACTCAACCAGCTGAATCTCTCTCTTCAAGGTAAAGACACAAATGTTCTTAGCTTGTATGACAAAGTGTGTGGATTCATGGAGAAGATCAAGCTCTGGCAGAGCAAATGTGAAAAAGGGGATACAAGTTGTTTCCTGCAGCTGAACGCATACATTGCTACTGGTGAATGTGACAGAGCTCCAATTGTGAAAATAGTACACACACATTTGTCCAAGCTCAAGAATGAGTTCAACTCCTACTTCCCTGATATTGACAACAAGTCATCCACAATGGACTGGGTGCGTAATCCATTTGTGACGTGCATTAAAGCAGCATTCCCGCTAGACTGCAAGAAGACCTCATAGATGTGTCCTCAGATAGGAGCCTGAAGATGAGGTACTCAAGCACACCACTGACACAGTTCTGGTGTGGTGTGGAGAAGGAGTATCCTGAATTGGGGAAACATGCCCTGAATGAACTGTTGCCTTTTGGGTCCACATACCTGTGTGAGGTGACATTCTCCGCCATGATCCACATCAAGACTAAACACAGGAACAGACTCAACTTGGAGAATAACCTGGTCACAGCTGTTGCAACAATCTCCCCCAGACTTACAAAACTGATGAGGGAGAAACAGGCTCAAGTGTCACATTAATTGGTGAGTTACCTTACTTTTTGTTTTAAGTCTTTAAACAATGGCTATTATAATGTATATGATTAGTTATGATTGAATATGATTTAAGTGTCACATTAATTGTCGCATTGGGTCACACAGACAAAAATATCCTCCTCTTCTCTATCTCTCCTCGTCACTTCTCTCCTTCTTCCACTCCCAGGTTTCACCTTAGCTACACACAGGGCCGTATCCAGGCCCCGCCCCCCGGCCCGGGTCTGATATGTGCTGACACACACACACACACACACACACACACACACACACACACACACACACAGCCGGTCTGCCACAATATATAGACTATTAATATATCCTGGGGATCACCACGATTGATTGCGTAGTAGGGGGTACTTTAGGTTGGCTTGAAATGCTTTGGGGGTACAGTACTCAAAAAAGGTTGGGAACCACTGCTCTAGGTCGTTACCAGCGTAAACTAGAGCTATGTGGGTTGTTACAGACTGCCTGCAGATGTATGGAAAAACGACAGTGGCCTTCGTCGATTTTGGCTGCATCTACGTCTAATTTCTGGAAACACCAGGTGAATACCCCACTTGTCACAATAATATTATCATGCCATTGCATATATGTGGTATTTTAGAGTTGACTAGATATTGATTAGGGCAATAGACTATTATATTCAGTACAGGAAGCTTAGCAACACCTAGACGGTGTACGGCTGCTTGCACCTTGCGTAAAACGACGCAGACCGGAAGTACGGTGTCGCGCTCGGCCCAATACCCGTATGTGTGTGTGAAAGAATAGGTCCTGTGTTTGTGTCACACCAACATGACCTTTCTTTAAGTAGATTTCAGCAGACTTTACATTGTATTAGTAGCCTAATACACAGAACTACCATAATAAGGGAAAATAAATATCCTTCGAAAAGTAATTGTCAATTCAGTTTTGTAGTACGGGAACACATATGAGACCGAGCAGCAGAGGAGGGACTTCTCTATTAGGATGGGTGGAAGGATGACTGTTATTTATTTTTTTCAGTTTGAAATCTGCAACATTTAAATCCAAACCCTCCTCCCAGCTTGTATATGTTTGTCACATGCATAGGCGGCGCGTGAGGCTCAGCTTTGGGAAGGCTAAATAACTTTTTTTACCTGACGCTGCCCGCCTCCGGCGTATATAGAAAATAGATCAACTCAGTGTGCGGAGTTTAAATCTCTCAAGTCATATTACCGGATAAAGGAAATACAGTTTAAACTGCCATATGCAGAGAAGACGCCGACGTGTCGCACTTATCATTCATATTAGCCTACATCATCAATCAGATCATCGATCATATAATAGGCTATCATAAAATATCATATATTTCCTTATCTGAGTCAGCTTCTCCAGCCGTATCTAGGGCGTGCAACACTTACAGTGTCACATACTGTATGCAGAAGTATTATTTTAAGCAACACATTATGTTGACGAAACACTCGAGTCAAATCAAATGTAATTAAAGTCAGATCATAAAACTATACGCTTTCAAACACTCGAAAGGCCTAGTTATTTTTTAACCAGTTGTTCTGTATTCACCTTGCAGGTGCAACTATGTGGCTTGTATCCTGGATTATATGTTTAAGTCATGGATGTTTAAAGTTCATATTTGTCTAATATTAGTTTACTTTTCATTAATGAAGTGTGACGCTGCTCTGTCAGTACACTTGTCCCTGTTTGTGATTGGTCAAATGTAGCTAACCCCGCCCCTTTCACGTGAACGCGCTCTCAGCTGGAGAGAGAAACCCTGGCTTGATTTACCGAGTTGATAACCAGCGTCGTAGGACCGCTTAGCGAGATCTCGTTTGTTAGTTTGTTGTTTTTAGTTTGTTTGTTACTCAAACATATCCAGGGTATGTTGAACTGGCTTCGTAGTACAGGGCACAGGTGGCTAGCAGCGCTAATGTCAAAGACACAGACATTATACATTATATTTGTATTTTACCAGGATGCAGTGACACAAATATTTGGGAAGGCTTAGCCTTCCCTAGCCTACAGCACCCGCCGCCCCTGGTCACATGCCTGAGTGCATGCAGGGTGCTGTGGGAGTGAATCGCTGCAGCCCTGTTCATCCGGTGGAGGCCAGAGGCCAGCAGGTTTCTCTGACATAGGCAGGAAGCCTCTGGACCTCCCCAGGATGTAGCTGTCAGCTGATCCCCCTCTGGGAAGGGGAGGAGACGAGGAGGAGACGGCAGAGGAAGAGGAGGGGAGAGGCAGATAAATTGGCAGGTGTGGATGGGACAGGAGAGTGGGGGTTGGGGGCTCTTGCTAGCCGATGGTGACATTGGGGGGAGGTCTGTTATACAGATAAAAGAGCCCCCTCTCTCTCCTTCAGTCTCCCTCCATCCTGTAAGAGCTGATTTGCAGCTGTAGGCTCCTGTAATGCATTTAAGAGAAGAAAGTCAGAACAGGAGAGATGCATACTGTAACCTGTGCACACATGCCCTGTGCACTTTTCTCCTATGACTTCATGCAGCACTGAATAAAGGCTGCTACATGACAGAAACTCAACACCAGTCCTTTAATGATGAACACCTCTCGCGCTATTTATAGCAAGAGCTCAGTGTATAGGTTCCACATGTTCACTAAATCACTTTCTGCTGGTGGTGTAACGTCTGCGTGTGATACAGCTGGATGACCTTTCACCCCCCCTCTCTCATTCACGTAGAAAAGCAGCGCAGACACAGGACAGAGCCTTTGTCTTTTTTCTACATCTGCCATACAAGATGGAGTCCAGATCTGCTGTTTCTTTGAACTGCATCAACTATCACTGGAGTTGACAGCAGAGTGGTGAAATGTTCTTTGAACTGGCACTGTGACGTGATATCAGCCGGAGATGGTGGTAACCTAGTTTCTTTTTGTGATAACTTGAAAAATAGCACAGATCTCACCGGACGTCCATATGGAGCATTCCTTACAGAGTGTCTGATTTCAACCTCGTTAAATTGGTTGTGTGTTTCTTTTTTGTTTTATTCTATGCATCACTTACAGCCTGTTTTTTTAAAGTGTTGAAGTCGGTTTCTCTTCTCGTGCGTCTGCCCTGCATGAATGGTGTTTAGGAAACAGAGAGAACAGGAAAGGCAGAGCAGGCAGGGAAGAATAGAGGGATATCCCCTTACAGGGTTCCCTCCTTTTTCCTCCAGGATAGAGGCGGTGAGAACTTCGGAAAGGGTGGGGGGATGGTAAATCACACCACCTGTCCACACACAAACCTGTGCACATGCGTTCCAAAAAATCACATGTGAATACAAACACAAGCGTGCATGCCTCCGCTCTGAGGCCTGTCTGCTGCTGAGACTGAGGTCCTCTCTCTTTCCCTTTGTGTGTGTCTGTGTTTGGCTAGAGACCCTCAGATTAGCCCTATGTGGCCCAGATTACAACCAGATCAGTGCTGGCACATATTACACCAGGCTGTGAACCTTCATTGGGACAGTGGGCCAGCCTGGGCTTTAGGGGCTGAAAAACCCATGTAATTACACTTCAGTGGAGAGGAGAAGTACAGTCACTGATTTACACAAGCTGTTGTTTATACTGTTGTGGTGTGAGTTACGCACGCAATCCCGGAAGTGTCAAAAGGATAAATGCATGTTTTGTGAAGCGGGAGCTGGGAGTGGAAGGTTTTAGTTTACACTGTCACATTTGCTTTCCCCAAACAAATGTGACTTTTATGGGGTCTGCTTTTACATTCAGCACTCTTCCCCCTAGTGGCTGCAAAGGGAAACACACACGAGGGAAACACACCCGGATAAATCCATCTGACAGTACAGGAATAAACCTTGCAAAAGGCTCTCTTGATGACGTCTCATCCGTAGAAAAACATATTTTTCAATCTGCAATTTGAAAGGAAAACCTCTTATGTAGTGGCTGATAATTTGTTTGTTTTGTCTCCAAGGTGCCACCAGGGACGTCGGCTCAGCTCTGACTAGGATGTGCATGCGACACCGCAGCATTGAGACAAAATTACGCCACTTCACCAAGTAAGTGTCACTGGCTTCTCCCCCTCCATTGCAATTTTCGTACCTCTCTTATTTGAGAGGATTATTTTGATCTGAGGTCCCATCCCATCCCTGTTGACCTCCCTCTCTGCCACTCTTCACTGAGTGTTTTTGCGCCATGGATGGAAGTAAAGCTATTTGTTATGCCTCTCACTCGCTCTTCTCACACTGTGCCTCCTTGTCACTGCAGTGCTCTTATGGAAGGCCTGGTTACGCCTCTTCAGGACAGAATAGAGGAATGGAAGAAGACAGCTAATCAACTGGACAAAGACCATGCCAAAGGTGAACAACATGGAAATACAAACTATAAATACGTGTTTGTGAGAACTGTACATTTGACAGGAGCTGACTTTTTCTTTGGTTGCTCTACGCAGAATACAAGAGGTCTCGTCAGGAAATCAAAAGGAAGTCGCTGGATACCATAAAACTCCAGAAAAAAGCAAGAAAAGGTGAGAAAACACTTCCCACTATGGCAAGAATGTGTAATTTATCAACCTCCCACACCTTCATTGACATTTTAAGGCAGATATTAAAGAAGTATGCTGTGCTGCTGGTCTCTTTTCTGCTCTAATGGTTCAGATTAAACTGGCGCCATCTAGAGTGTAGCATCAGAAATGACAACTCAATCAAATCATAATGCCTGGCACAATTTCAAAAGCTCCTTTCCAGCTTTGGGTGATTTACAGCTTCTACCTCATAAATCAAATAAATTATCTTCTTTCCTGGCTGTGTTTGCATTAGCCTCTACTGCTGGATGTAATTAAACGCCTATTTTCATACAGGATTTACTGCAAGCCAGTAGTACGGTCTGGTCATAAACATGCAATGTGCCCTGATGTGATACAGCTAACATTGCCTGTTCTTCTGTCTCTCCTCCCCTGCCTGTCTCTGCAACCTCTCCTCTATTTCTTTCTGGCTATTTCCCCTGGCTGTAGAGCTTCTAGGTATGTCTGCTGTGCTCCATGACATAGTTTTTAAAGGCATTGTAATCTTTTTTTTAACAAACTGCCAGTAAAAAAACTGTGTTTTCTTAGCATGTTTTGTTTAAGAAAAGGAATTGTTTGACATTTCGAGAAATTGGTTTATTGAATTTCCTGCAGAGAGATGAGAAGAGGATAGCACTCTCCACTGAATGCTAAAGAGGCTACCACCAGCAGCCTTTTAGATTAGCTTTAAACAAAGGCTGTAAACGGGGGGAAACGGCTACCCTTGCTTGAGTAACAAAACTACCTATCAACTTTTTTATATTTCACAAAATAATCTAATTAATCTCTTTTTTTATTCATACAAACAAATTCAATTGTACAAACTACATAGTGCTATGTTAGTTAGTTAGTTAGCTAGCTTGCTCCTGTTCCCTGTTATTAGTCTATATGCTAACCTAAGCTAACCAGCTGCCCAATGTAGCTTTATGTTTTGATTGCTGTCTTCTCATTTAACTCTCGAAAAGAAAGCAACTTTCCCCAAATATCTAACATTGAGTATTCTTTTACCTGAACTTGAAACTCATTGTCGAAATCCAAACATTGAAGATGTAAGTTATATATGTAAATAAACAGGCTTAGGTCATGGCAGGAATAGAACAGGTGTTCCTAATGGCATTACCGACAGCTCTGTTCTATTTAAGTATCCACAATGCAGTGCAACAGGACCCTTAAACTGAAGCAGCTAAATGGTATTTATTTAGCCATCATAAAATGTATCACTCATTCAAATGCAGCCTTTCAACTCTCTAAAAGCCTCTTAATAAAGTAAGAACTGCCCATTTTTGGCAAAGTATCTCTTAGACAATCTTTCATTCCTCTCAGTAATTTTAGCGTCTTTGTCTTGAGCTGACATTTGGCTCCCCTTAGCGAAGTGCTAAAAAACACTCCCAGAGACCTAAACTTTGGTTTTAAGGGCCTATTAATTGGCAAGCTGTCATTCTCATGGGACTCTTAATTTAATCAGTGTCATAATACGCTGGTGCTCTGCAATATTAGCCAATTAAACTGTTATTTATAAATCGCATAGAAGGTGCCAGTCAAAGTATAAAAGACAATAGGACTGTTGGAATAACTATGATATAAGAAACATAGCAAAAACCAAATCTGTGCAATCGTTTTCTACATAAGCTGATGAAAGATATTTTTTTTCTTCAGTTGGACTATAGACATTTTATAAAGAATAAAACATGGAGTAGACATCTGGACAGGGGTCTTGTTTAGTACAGAATATCTGCAGACAAAACTATTTTTCTTACTTATATTTTTCAAGTTTATAGATAGTTACAAAGAGTACATTGTTTAAGATTAAACCAAAAATGGTAAGATATATCAGGTGTTTTTTTCTGGCAGTGTAATTGACGCCATCAGTGACAGAAAATATGGCATCTCCATTTTCATTTTCATTTTCATTTTCATTGCAACCTTTTATTCTTTTGCCTTCCTTCATCCATCATCTAGTGTCATTGTGGTTTGCAATCATGAATAACTCTTTAGAAATTCTCTTAACATCCATTTCAGGACATTCAAGTCACCACCAGTTGTTTTGCATCAGTTCACGATTGTTGACATGATTTAGCGTCCACTCATTCCCATGAACATGAATCATTTGAGTGTAATGTTTGTCAGTGTGTTGACCTTTAGTACACAGCAATTTATCATTATGTGTTCTAATCATCTCTCATTTGTTTTACTCTTTCCCTCCACCCTGAACTATGTCCACTTTACTTCCTTCACATCCGCCCCTCAATTTCTCAATCTCTCTTCATTCCTCCTCCTCTCTTATCTTTCTTTACTCAACCCTCCTCACATCTTCCCTCCCGCCGCCCTCCCCTCTTCTGTGTGTCTGCACCCTTTGCTTTGCATTTTAATAGGCCGGGGTAACTTGCGCCCCCAGCTGGACAGTGCCATGCAGGACGTGAGTGACATGTACCTGCTGATGGAGGAGACGGAGAAGCAGGCGGTGCGCAGAGCCCTGCTGGAGGAGAGGGGGCGTTACTGTACTTTCATTACCCTGCTGCAGCCTGTGGTGGTGAGGAACATTTAGACTTTGTTCACCTCGCTGGTGTAAATACATGTTTTGCAGATGTGGGAAGTAGTGGAGTACAAATACTTCGTTACTGTACCTAAGTATATTTGTCTGGTAACGTTACTTTACTCCACTACTTATTTTTCTGATTACTTTTTACTTTTCTTTCATACATTTTTAACACAAATGCCTGTACTTTATACTTCTTACATTTTCAAAACAGGCTCGTTACTTAAGTTTTAATCTGTCTTTGGAGGCAAGATCATTATTATTTAGAGTCATTGCGTGCCTTTTTTAACACGATCCGTGTATCCATAATTTCCTGGTCTTCTCTAAAGAAGAGGGACCAATGGAAACGTTGTCATTTTGCCATTGTTCAGCTTCAAAACGTTCATTAGCTAACAATTACATTATTGTTCTATTCATATGAAGTGAGGTCAGTTACTCTTTAAAACAGTTGGTAGTTATGGGTACTTTTTACTTAAGTACATTTCGAAGCCCATTCTTCTTTACTTTTACTTGAGTAAAGAAGTTTAGTCAGTACTTCTACTTTTACCAGAATCTTTTTAAACACGAGTATCTGTACTTTTACTTGAGTAAAGAAGTTTAGTCAGTACTTCTACTTTTACCAGAATCTTTTTAAACACAAGTATCTGTACTTTTACTTGAGTAAAGGATGTGTGTACTTTGCCATCCCTGATGTTTTCCTTTGTTGCTGATGTAGTCGCTGTTTAATTTGACCCATCCTGCTTTCCCCCTCCAGAATGCAGAGATAGCCATGCTGGGAGAAATAACACATTTACAGCCAATTGTTGATGACCTCACTTTGCTGACTGAAGACCCCCACAAGCTGCCACCCGCCAGTGAGCAGGTAAGGGCTGATAATGATTCTACTGATGCTGCTGCTACACTTATTATCTGACATGCACAGATGGGCAGGTTATTTTGATCAAAATCAAATCCACTTTGTGTGATTACATTTCACAGTTTTAATGAGTCTGTTGATTCTATCCTTTTATAATAACGACCAATAGGATCAAAACAAACACATAATCGATCCAACAAACAATTATTTTTGGTATAACAAAAGCCATATTTTGTGTCAGGGGGCAGAGAAGTTCAGATTGATTTACTCTTGTGTTTTTATTTTATTGAACTAAGACTATAGACGAGGCTATTATTCCAATAGAGATACATGACTGTGTCCCTGGTATATTATATACAAAAATAGCTCCTATGCCTTGGAGCATAACATGCGTGGCTATATGCTCGTGAAAAAAGTTGCTAACACATAATTATACTATTAACTCCTGATTGAGTAACACTTGCTTAAAAATACAATGCTTAGCTGTTTCAGGAAATTATAAAGCCTTTTCTGAAATCGACATACCTTCCCTATTACGATTGCACCACACCATGGCTAAACTGAGTGATTTAAAATGAATTCTTCCCCCTTGAGCACAGCTTGTCGAATAACTTTTTGAGGAGATGAGGATACAAGTCCCAATTAGCATTTTTTGTATTACTATTTTAACAATTACACATATATATCATCACCATATGATTATGTGTTGCCGCAGGTCATCCGGGACCTGAAGGGCTCCGACTACAGCTGGTCCTACCAGACCCCCCCTTCCTCCCCAAGCAACACAGGCTCCAGGAAGAGCAGCATGTGCAGGTATAAACACACTCGTATACACACACCCACCCCTTGTTGCTCTTTGTTCTCTGTTCAGCGTGCATTGTTTCATATACCATGTCAGATGTGTTGCTACGGGCGGACTATTATTCATGCTGGATCTGAGCTGTCATGTTGTTTTGAGTAAACACCTATGCACAGTCTTGATTTCAACTCTGTTATTACACCAAAAAGCAAAGACAAAAATGTATAAAGTATGTCATGAATACAGGTGCTGGGGACCCCCTCCCCCCACCACCACAGAGCCACACTATCAGTGACAGGCGACATGCACTACACGGTGTATCTTGCCAGCTTCTCCGCTCGTGCTCGGGGCAGATTTGCACTTCTCAAGCTTCTTACAGCCAGATTAGCTCCAAAGCTGTAAAACATTACAGCCTGACAGCCGTGATCCTAGACGAGAACCAAGTTTTACATATTTGAAAGTCTAATGATGAAAAATGTGGGTCAAAAGAGCTTTTTGGGTCAGGAGAGGAGATTCTCTTTACATATAAACCCTTGAAATGTTCAGTTAAAGGAACATCAAGCCTCGAGTCACCCTGCTTTAATGTTACGGTTCATGAAATAACATCACTGATATCTTTACCAATTAACACAGCAGCATATTTTTTGTATTCTACATTTATTGTCAACGCAGCCACTTAAAGGAATGACGCAAAACCGGCTTGACCGATGTCAATGTTTTAGTTAATAATCATAATAATAAATTGTATTTCTATAGCGCTTTAATAATAATAATAATAATACATGGGACTTTTATAGCGCTTTTCATGAAACTCAAAGACGCTTTTTTTCATCATTAAAAACCTTTTTCATAACAAAGTTGTGGGGGATTTTCAGTGGTATATGGAAATTCAAAAAAAGTGGCCTTTTATGTGCAGACCTACTTGGTTATTCATCTGTTTCTGATCAAAAGACAAACACAATGAAGCAAAACGGAAGAAAAACAAGCTCTCTGAATGCTTATTAAAAGACACAGATGAGAGAGAAAGGGGCATAAGGACAGTGTAATGAATCATTTATAGTTATTTAATTTGTCATATTTAGTTGGCATTCCTCCACAAGCCTCATCCCAGGGGAAAAAGATTAAGGAGAAGTGATAACTTCAGATCAATTCCGGAGGAGGAGGAGGAGGAGGAGGAGGAGGAGGAGGAGGAGGAGGAGGAGGAGGAGGAGGAGGAGGAGGAGGAGGAGGAGGAGGAGGAGGAGGAGGAGGAGGAGGAGGAGGAGGAGGAGGAGGAGGAGGAGGAGGAGGAGGAGGAGGAGGAGGAGGAGGAGGAGGAGGAGGAGGAGGAGGAGGAGGGGGAGGGGGAGGAGTACAGAGGGAAGGTGAGACGCATATGTTGCACATTTTCAAAGGCGTGGGTGACAAAGAGAAGCAACGCTGAGTGAGAATGACAGAGCAGGAGACAGAAAGCGAAGACGTTCAGAGGGAAAGCAAAATCAAAAGAAGGGATCAATGCTCTTTGATGCACCAAAATTAGAAGAATGGCATCATTTAGAATGTTCTCATAACACTGCCTCCCAGCTTTTGTGATACATTTTTCATGGAACTTGTTATCCTCTTTTGCACTGGCCTACACATCAATCTCCCTTTAACACGTTTCAGAACAAAATAAGCGGGGGAAAATGATGAAATCTTCATCATGATCCTGTTTCACATTCATACTGTATGTTTTTATGGAAGATTTACGATGCTCACGTAGACTCAAATCAAACAAGGGGAACATGTGAAATAAAAAAGGTATGCAGGCATTTACTCTGTCATAATTTAGAACAAACAACACGTTAAAAGGCAGTGATTTGTCTTTATTCCTTTAATGTTGATCTGACTGTTTCCATGCTACATGAAAATAATTGCCTCATAGCACAGGGAACAAAGTGAGGTGAGAGTCTTATCCCAGTTCAGTTTTGTCCCACAGAGATCAGCATGTTAACTAAATGCAAAGCACTGTCATTACTCAGCATAGGAAGGCATGAGGGGGCTTTTTCTTTTGAGAAGACAAAGATGCATCATTCATTTTCCAACTGAAACCCAAATAAGCAATCGCAGCTACAGTATGGGGCCAAACCGTATCCTTGCTTAAACAAACTGATAGCGGCCATGACAGACATCCTTTCACATTGAAATAGTTCCCTGTGGTCCAAAGGGCTGCACGAACACTACATTCAAAAACACATCAAAATAATTCTCAAACCCAAAATCAAAAATGTGCTGCAAGCTGCAAGCCATAGCCTCGCCCATGAGACCCTCATTATGAGATACGATAGTTGATTGTTTTAACATTTAACACGATAGTTGATTGGTTTAACATTTTTAAAATGTATGTTGCATCTTCAAACCGCTGTGCCTCTTCAAAGATAAAGTGTTCTTATTATTGACACATTAATGCGCCTCTATGCTGGAAAACACAGAAATGCAAAACACCTCTTCATTTTGTTTGTGCCATTTCAATGCGGCATATGATAAAACAAACTGATACATAAAAGGGAAATACAAATGACTTTTTCCCTTGTTAGATTTGTTTTCATTTGGTCAATAGAAATCCTCCATTTATTGAAATGATGACTCATTAGATGAAAACATAAGAGGAAAATACAAATTTCGATGTATTTCTTGGTGGATTTGTTTTTATTTGGTTGTTATCAATACTCCATATATTTTGAGTTTAAGCTCATGTGTTATCCTGTCAACAGCATTCTCCAGATGCCCTCTGCAGGCGCCCATCGGCTCAGCAGCGTCTCCTCCCACGACTCGGGCTTCGTATCTCAGGACGCCAACACCCACTCCAAGCCTCCATCACCCATGCCCTCTGACATCGCCAGCCAGGTAGCAAACTCAGCCATAAAACTGAAGTTTATTCTTCAATCAGGGGAAACTGGGGGGGGGGGGATTATGTCAGCAAAACCAGTAACAAATCAGACTTCCTCTAAATCCCTCAGGCCAAACACACAGAAACACACCACTTTATTGTCAGTGTAGATCTACTACAATTCTCTATACTCTATAAGATCAATCCTTTTCCATTGGGCACCTTCAATCTTGTCATGTTTGCATTTCAGACAAAAACACATAGGTCTCTATTAGAGAATAAAAGTGTTCCCCAAACCCAGACAGAGCTTATGGAGTTTTGCTGAAATGTAGAATTGTTATCCTCCAGACTGATAGTTATTCTGACTCTCACGGTCTGAACAGAGTGCAGAATACAGAATACAGAATACAGAATACAGAATACAGAATACACTGGGCACCAACTGATGCAATGTTCTTTTCTGAATAAATGATCTTAGAGGCTACTTTATTTTCGATATAGGCTATGGTCTATAGATCCCCTCAGAGACCAAAATACCTCCCTCCTCCTAAAGCTCATCAACACTCTTCTCCAACTCTCACCCTCTTCCTATGCATCTCTCATCTCTCACTCCTACCTTTCTCTCCCCTCTTCCTCTTTCCCTTCCACTTTGTTTTTACTCCATTTTCCATTTCCCAGAAATCAACAAGCTCAGCCTCCTCAGAGGCTTCAGAAACCTGCCAGTCTGTCAGCGAGTGCAACTCTCCCACGGCGGTTAGTACTGCATGCATCTAACCAATCTACTTGCTTTATTGAACACACACACATGCAGTCACACACACAAGCACTGTGCCATGCATTTCACCCGATGTTATCTATAGCTTTAAGAGGCCTGCAGGCTCTTCCTGACAGCCACAGTCTATTCATGGATGTTGAGCACTCTGACTTGTCTGTCCGTTCTGCAGTTTGGCTCATGCTCATCCTTCGGTACCTTCCGCCCTGCTTTCTCACACACTGGCACCATCAGACCTCTGTCTGTCATACTTCCTGCGTCCCCCACATTTAACCACTCCCCCGGATCCAACACCCCCTCACCCACATCAAAGATTCCTAGCTGGAAGGTTTGTTTTCATTTGCAATTTAACTTTTTTTTTTTCTTTCTTTTAAAACTTTGTTGCTTCTTTGCCTCTTGTGTTTTATTGCCTTCATGCACATTAATAAGCAACTAGATTAACCTCACAGTCACCATTTTGCTGTTGCTCATCAAGCTCAGTTTAGCAATATTTGCTAAACTGAGACCGCTTTATCATTTAACAACACTGGCATAGCTTGGTGCCCATGTCTACATCTGCATCTAACCAGTTCATGAGCCAAACCAGCAGTTTCTGTGTTTAACTGAATTGCACGACTGTTGGGCGGCAAACACTGAAGAGAGGCGCATATTTAGGACAGTCTTGATTGTTCTGTCTGCTGCTGCAGGACTGGGCCAAATCCTGCGAGCCATCACTGGCCAGCACTCTGCAGCGTAGGAGGGAGTCTATGGATAAGATGAGAGAACTGGAGGCTCCGCCCAGTCCACTGGGGTATTCTGGGATGCATCCCGATGATCCACACCGAGCAAGAATGGGCCCAGGAAGCATTGCAGCCAAGGTAAGAAGTCCTCATGGAGTAAAAATGTAAATGTCAGTATATAAATGTGCCCACCTTTTTAGAATGTTGTGAACTGCATATGTAAATGTGTGCTAATCTTTATGTATTTTCCATCTGCCTGTGTGTGTGTGTGTGTGTGTGTGTGCTTCAGCATGGTGAGGTGCTCTCTCCGGCAGCCAGTACTCTGGCCATGGTCCTGACCAGAGGCCTCAGTATGGAGCAGCAGAAGAGCAGCAGGGACTCTCTGCAGTACTCCAGCGGCTACAGCACCCAGACCAACACCCCATCCTGCTCCGAGGACACCATACCCTCCCAAGGTAACCCGTCCTTAACAGTTCTTCAGGGTCAAACATACATGGTTAGGCCAGTCACGATATTTACGTTATTCACAAATCGCACGGTATATGAAATGTTCTTATGGATGAAAATGTCATTGCTCTTTCTAAGGGTGTACTTGCATCATTAAGCTTTTATATAATCATATTAATGCCATCAAATATTCCTGAAATAACAGTAAGATTGTTATCGCAATAGGTTTCTTGGACAATACATTGTCTTTATAAATTTCTGAAACATACTTGTGTATTTTGAACAAGATATGATTTCTTCAAGATATCTCCCTCAAACAAAGTTGTTTTCTGTGTTTATTATTATTCAGAGGAAAAATATAGATGCTCATGACTCACTGTCACCTCAGGTTCGGATTATGAATGCTACTCTCTCAATGGGGATGCTGACAGCGAAGGACAGGCAGACTTTGACAAGTCCTCCACCATCCCACGCCACAGTAACATCGCTCAGAGCTACCGCCGCATGATCCAGACCAAGAGGCCTGCCAGCACCGCAGGTCTGCCTGCAGGTAAGACCCTGCAGGGCACTACAAACGGTGCAGGGGGGAGCAGCTCCGCAGTCATCACCTCAGGGACGGCCACCATTCGCCGGACGCCATCTTCCAAAACTGGGGTGAGACGGACGCCATCCACAACTGGCCCCATTCCCATCCGGCCCCCCATCGTGCCGGTTAAGACCCCCACAGTGCCAGATTCCCCGGGCTATGGCAGCCCGTCACAGTACCATGCCGGCAGCGAGGAGTTTCTGTACGGTGATGACCCAACTGCTGGTGACTACATGAGGGCTTCTCCAAAGCGGATGAGCCTCCCCGATACAGCTTGGGGCTGTGGAGGAGGGGCGGACAGGACCCTTTACACCCAGCAGGCCCTGGGCATGGCTGCCCACAACGCTGAGGAAGACCCTCAGCTCGCTGCCAACCGCCACAGCCTGGTGGAGAAGATAGGGGAGCTGGCAGCCAGCGCAAACGCCCTCGGTGAGGGGAACTTCTCTTTCCACAGCCCACTGCCAGGGGATCCGGCTCGGTGTGTGCCGCAGGAGCCGTCCTCCACTACCCAGGAGGACAAGGATATGCTGGTGTCTATACGCCGGGGAGTGAAGCTCCGCAAGTCAGTGACTGATGACAGGTCGGCTCCCAGGTTCTTTCGGTAGCTGTCGGAGAAGAAGGCTGTGAGGAGGCAGCCGTGGTGCCCTTATTTACAAACTGAAGCTTTGTAGTGAGATGAGACAGCACTCATGTGACACATAAACTGAGGTACAAGTTATAAAGAGGATGTAATGTGGTGAATGAAGGCCAGTTCACAGAGTAAAGAGTGGACAACGTTAAGTCAATTAATGTCTTGTATGTATTGCGTACGTACAAAGTAATCCATATTCTTTTGGTTTTTATTCTTCTCTTTTGTTATTGTCTGTGGGCTTTGTGGCTGTGCTCTCTGCTCCCTGTGTGACTGCTTGTTTCAGCCCAGTTTGTTCACTATTGCCCCAGTGATGAGGATGTCACTGCTGTAGAGATCAAATGCTTTGTGTCTTTGTTTTTCTTGCTCTTATGATTATTATAATATTGTGCATTTCTTAATTAACAAAGGCCGCCTGTCAGTAAAAAGTGATGGGCACAGTGCTCTGTGAGCCTGTTTGTATGTTGTGTTTCTCATCATTACTGTACAAGTACCGTATTACTGTTTTTGTTTAATAAGGTGAGCAGCAGCTGTGTAAGTCATGTAAAATAGAAGCAATATGGCAGTGCTTTTATTGCTGTACTGTACTGTCAATATATTCTGCAATTAAACAGGCTTTTTACTGTTAAATTGCTTGATTGTCTTTGTCAAAAAGGTATACAGAAACTATTTCATCCATTGTGCCCACAATGCAGACAATTTCTTGGTTTTAGGTATTCACCAAATTGTATTAGATTACCAATATATGTAAATCTATTTTTCCATTTTTTTAAATTTTAATCTCTTTAGATTTATGTAACCATCATTTTTTTATTCGAAATTCATTCCTTCTGAGCTTTCTCTACCTCACAATTTATACTGCACTTAAACTTAGTATGTTATGATTTGTGTAGTAGCCTACTGTAATCTTTATTTCCCCAGCGGTCTGTGTGCGGTTGTTTTATCTGAAACCCAATTCAATTAGTTTTTCCTGGTAATTTTCTGCTCAATTCTATATAACATTGCCTGCAGTTATACTATTTACAACACTGCACTGAAAACAGAGGGGGGCGCCAGAGCCCCTTCACTGTGGCCGAGCTAAATGGCGCTAACAGGAAACAGAAATGGAAGACATCAACATTACGGTCTCAGTAGAGAGACATTTGGCTGGCTGGAGAGATGAGCGATACATGGGATGAAGAAGAAAGAAAGACGGTAAGCACGTCTCACAGTTCACAGCCTCCAGAACAAACCACTTTCATGTTACACCATGTGCACCAACAAGCTAGCATAGCCTACTCTTGTTTCAAAAGCACAACAAACATGGCCAAAACTGCAGGCTACCTCTTCACATTAATGACGTCAACTGCAAAAATAAACATTTTACGTAAACTGCCCCAGAGATTATATTTTGCAACAGTAGGCTATATAGTCCACATTATAGGTAGAAGGGGGGAAAAGGTGGAAGAAGTACTCAGTTCTTGTATTTAAGTAGGTACCAGAGAAGAATACTCTTTTATAAGTGAAAGTCCTGCATTCAAAATGTTATTCAAGTAAAAGAACAAAAGTATTAGCATCAAAATCTACTTAAAGTGCCATAAGTAGGAGTACTCATTATGCAGATCTGCCCATTTCAGAATAATATATGTTTTGATTATAATGATTGATGCCTTAAAGTGTTTATTAAAGGTGGAGCTAATTTACATTTCCTTGTATACTGCAGGGTAGATTGTGAATTTTACTCCAGGTGTAACTAAAGTGTTTAAGTGTATATGTTATTTGACATCATTAATCCAAATCTGTAAAGTAACTAAAGGTATTAAATACATGTAATCTAGTAAAAGTACACTATTTACTTCTGCATTGTAGTGGGGTAGAATAAGGCAGGCACAACATTGAAATACTCAAGTAAAGTACAAGTCCCTCAAAATTGTACTTAAGTACAGTACTTGAGTAAATGCAGTTACTTTACACCACTGGAAGCAGGCTATTTAAAATGTATATTCCCTGGCATGTATTATTCTTTAAATGATTGGTCCTGGGAAAACAACTTATAAATTGACTGTGCAAAGCTTTTTACCCCCATGGACAACAGTGATGATAAACAACGGGTCGTTCTCTGGATAACCGACTTATTGGAGTGCACTGCTGTGTGTAATATGTGCATAAAGTCAATTTAAGATAACTCTCAAGAAGCATGATAACAGTACACCTTGGACAAACAACAATAGAGTATAAGTGTGGAGGAATGAGGCGTTTTCAAGATATATGAATATTGGTGCCCTATTTTAATCCCTCTGAGTCATCCCTGATAGAGCTCGCTGATATACAAATAAAATTGGAGGCTGAGAAGGTCTGAATAGGACCACATTATAAAAAAATCAGACAGTTGGATCCAGTGGGCTATCTATAATGAGGGCTGGATGTTTCTTGTTTTGGTCCCATGAGTAAATCCTATAGCAGGACCATCACAAGTGAAGGAATGAATAAATATGCCTGGCATAGGAAGACTCAACGTCATAATCCCCCCTGCCTCATAAATAGCTCATCATTGAATTTACACTATTAGCCTTGAACTGGCCAAGTAATGGAATTTGGCTGGGGCTTGCTTGGATAATTAACTGAGAAAATAATTTAGGAGTTTGGTTTGAATCCGAGTATATGTTCTCACTCTCTTAACTGTGTTTCAAAGAGAACATCATCACTGCCAAAACAATCTCACCTCTTAGTTGGGTAGAGCGAGAGGGACACCAAGCTCTGCTAATTCTCATTTTCTTCTCTTTTTCCATGCCTTTTGATGATGTGAGGAATCTTTCCATGTGCTATTAGGGAGCCGTGATTGTCGGAGGCTAAGAATGAGATAGTGTTCAAATCAATGAACGTTTCTTAGTGTGCTAATCACTTGGGCAATCCGGGCTACACTAATCAGAATGTAGATATAATAAATATAAATATAATGTAGACTTTTATCGAAACAACAGGCCATGCATTAATCATGAAATTATTTTTGGCTTTTTCAGACAAAGTGGCTGCCGTTTTATTTGCTGTTCTCGTTTAGCTGAGTCTGTCATTGAACAAACATCAGCTCTTGAGATGTGACATTCTAAGGAAAAGGCTCAAATATGCTGGGTAATTGGGTGGTTTGGTTTTGTTGCTGTTTTTCTCACACCTGACACGTCGTTCCATAATTAATAGCTCTATTAATAAACAGTTCTACAGCACTGCTTAAGCACTACAGTAGGTATAGGAGCCCTTAGGGGATCACAGATCAAATCTAATAAGCCGTACCTAATACATGTGGGAAATGTCTTTATATTTATCCAGCTCCTTTAAATGCTTTCTGCCTTCAGGTAGTGATGAGGGGGAAATGTCCTGAGGGGCTCGTATACAAAGGAACGCGATGATGAATGTTACTATAGAGCTGTTGCTCCTGTCGTGCTGTTACCAGAAATGTCTCTTTGCAGCTCTTCAATGGGAACATGTGGGGTAAGATTTCCTTAAATGTTCTCAGACGCATAACAACCAGAGATGCTTAGTCATCCATTGTAATTGTCCCGTCATGCTTTAATAAACTTGCCTTTTGCGACCAATTATTTCATTGACTTTCGGCAAGAACACTTTTGTTAAAGACTTTTTAAACACTCTATGGCTTAAATCTCCTATTAACTGATGCTAGTTCCAAGTACTCCAGACATTATTTGAACCCATTTCCTGTTTGTTTGTGTGGATTTTTCACCCCTCTGCTTTTCCAGGAAGAATAATGTACATTATGGGACCTCCATCCCCTTAAATCCCATCATCCCCTGTCTCTAAGGAGCACAGAAGCAGCAGTAGAATGTTTTAAATGCTACAAGGCTACAACCTTCGCCTTCAAAAGCTAGGTCTGCCTCTGTTGGAGTGAGGGGAATGGATTCGGTCAATTATTCATCAAGTAAGCATGAAGCTTTCTAATGTTCGTCGGCTGCTCTCTTCACTGAGATTTTCTCCCTTTAATGCCCTGCAGCTCTCACTTATCTGTCGAAGAGGGATGACGAGACTATTTCATGATATTGTAATATATATTTCATTAACGCTTTGTTGTTTTTTATGTGGTGTATGTTGGTGTTTTATCTCACAGGATAACTGCTGCCCTTAAGTAAACTATCCCTCTCACTCTGGCCTGGCCCTGTGATCGAATTAGCCTTTGCTACAGCTATCTCCCATGCTGGCAGTCATGGTGAATTTTACCATGTGAGACAACATGATAAAAGACAGGGTTTGATTTGCGTTCATGAAGCACTTACGAAGTTCAAAGAGAAGTTACACAGAGCAAAATTGAGAGTGCTGAGGCCTCAGACAGTTCACACAGGGTCTATTTTACATATCACAATTTCACCTCTAAATGTTACAAGCGGTCATTTCCCGTCACTAGGCTCCCTGTCACAGTTTGCTCTGAGGCTATTTTGTTGCACATATTTTTGAAATGCCTTCCCTCCTCAGGTCAGACACCAGCGAGCGTGGGATGGCTCATGTGTCTTGGTGACACAGCTTGCACCGCGTGAAAGAAAACAGCGATCAACCAATATGAGGTTTGTGCTCCAGCTGCAGGCTGTGATTCAAAATGGTCTCGGGGCTCACACCGACAGTTACCGGAGTTATTGCCTGAAAAGAACAGTTTGCTGCAGAGGGTGGATTGGGCTAAAATTGCAGTGATGGATTGTGGTTACAAATGGATAAGGATCCTTCAGCGGGAGCTTTGAGTTTCCAAACTGAATACAGATGTAGCCTATGTGTGTGAGCGGAGGAATGGCATTGAATTACTTGTCCAGCATAACACCACATCCCTCGTTGCATATGCATATTGATCCATGCCGGTCTTAACGCAAAGGTTGACATGACATGGGAGACAAACTCGATAGGGTGTGCAGCCGTGCTCTCTTACCAATTATTTTTCTTTTTGAGGATTCAGAGCCTTACTGTCAACGTAATATTTAGTCTCCTGACTTGTCAGAGAAGTGAGGGGAATTGGAAGTGTGCAGTTGGCGGAAATTAGCAGCAGACACCTACAGATTAGGTTTAGAGTGCTCTTGGTGCTCTAGACAGGCGGACGGAAGGGAGAGCAATCAGGGTGAAGATGTTTCTGTGAACTTTGGTTTGCAAAGACGTAAGAAGCTGTATCATTTATATTGATGCATTAACCCGTTTTTTTTTCTTCAAGCTGTAAATATTGTGTGCAGATCTTTTTTGCAGGAATGCAGTGCATTGAAGAAGCTTCATCCTCTAGTTCAAAGGGGAATTCAGGTCATGGAATCAGTTTGTCAGACGGACAGGAGGAAGCTGAGTGCAGTGCATGAGTGATTCCTCTTTCAACAACAGCTGTCAAAGTGTTCTTGAGCAAGGCAGCCCCAACTGCTTCACTGGAGCCAGTATTAGTTTTTTGGACAGTGTTAAAAGGAGGGGTGTTTACTCGGCTTTCCCTGACAGGAAGGATGAGTGATTTTCACTCTATCAACACTCCAAGCTGAGAGCGGATTTGTGTCATACAGCTGGGGATGCTCCTGCTGCGTGCGTGCACTGCAGGCTCAACCGGGCGCGAGCAGCTTTGAGGCAGGGACCCTCCTGACCAGCTCACAGGGTGAGGTTCACCGAGGAGCTCTGTCCACTGTGCGCCG